CATATTGATTCTAAGGTACAATAAGGATTGGGAACAAGTGTTATATTTTATTTGACCCGATAAAATAAAATATAATTAAAACAGTCCGAAAAATACAACTTTCGGGACCGATTGTACACTCCGGGACACAAAGGGTTGACCTCCCACATAAGTGGGGGCCAACCCACGTTTTTAGCTCTGAAAGGATGGCAAGGGAGCCGCACAACCTTGTGGGAATTGAGCAAGAAATGACTGAAGGCCAAACCAATAAATGGAATGGACCCTCCCCCCATGTCATCTTTGTGAGAAATGCCAAAAAGGCATTCTCAATCAACCATACACCCCCCAGCTCGGCCCATCCCTCAAGTAAGGTGAGAGAATCTCTGTAATCCTCCATCTTTGCCATCCATATCCGCACAAATCAAGGAGAGGAAGAAGGAAGGGAAGAAAGAAGAGAAATGAGGAGGTTAGGGAGGAAAACTTAAGATTTACAAGGTAATGACTCCATTAATCTCATTTCTTGTTCTTCAATCCTCTTATATGGTTATTCAATAATATTTCACACTCTAGGATTGTTCTACACGTTTGCAAGTGTAGAATAAGGGGTTGGAAGGTAGTCCTAAGTCCAAGAACGGACTTAGAAGCCAAAGTGACCGGTTCGCCGGAAAATAACCTTTTTTGAGGTTATTTGTATTACTATTGGTTTTATGATGATAAAACCTTGTTAGTAACTTGTCTAAGGTATTCAAGACACTTTCACGGAGTTGAAAGGGTTTCCGGAGTTGTCGCCAGAGTTCGTTGAAGTTCGCCGGAGTTTCGCTGGAGCTAAATCGGGAAGGCTAGAACTTCATAAGCTTTATTAAGGTGAGAAGATGGCTTTATGCTTTATAACTTTTGCGTGAGGCATGAGATTACCTATATTAATCAAGGATATGTTTTATGGAATGATTAAAAATAACCAAGTGTTTGCTTATGCCATGATTATACATAAAACATAGTTGAAAAGCATGTTATGTATGTTTGGTGATGAAAAATGTGATAACTTAATATGTATGATGTTACAGGGGTCCAAAATTTTATTTTTGGATCAAGGACGTCAAGAAGTACATGTGTATAAAATTTCACGTTAATCAGACTCTGTTTGGGTGGTCAAACGGGCGTTGACCGCCAAGTCAACTGCTATACCCGATCGGGTATTGGCAAATACCCGACCGGGTATTTGCTGAAAATTTGCCACAGGGGCTACTGTCTTCTATACCTGATCGAGTATGGGTAGGTACTCGATCGAGTATACACCAAAAATTGACCTTACGGGCTACTGTCTTCTGTACTCGACCGAGTATAGGTGGGTACTCGATCGAGTATTGGGTTATGCTCAAAACGGGCAGTTTTGAGCGGGTTAATGTGTGTCGTTCAGGTGGGACCCGCCCACGTTGGTTCCTAAGGATGGTTATATGACTATAGGGCTAGGTATTGTCCATAAATAACGGAACGCAAGGTTAGCCATATCCAGGTTAGGGCTTGGTAAGGATTAAGTTTGGGGTTGAGTATCCCCGTGACATTAAATGATCCTGAAACTCGGTTGGGGTTGAGCATCCCCGGGACTATAAATGATCCCGAAACTCGGTTGGGGTTGAACATCCCCGGGACTATAAATGATCCTGAAACTCGGTTGGGGTTGAGTATCCTCGGGACTGCAAATGATCCTGAAACTCGGTTGGGGTTGAGTATCCCCGGGACAGTAAATGATCCTGAAACTCGGTTGGGGTTGAGTATCACCGGGATGCTAAATGCTCCCAAAACTCGGTAGGATATTATGAATATAGAATGTAGCTTGTGAGCTAGGCATTCGGGAAAGGAGTGAGAAAGGTTAGGTAAGAACTTTATCTCTAAAAGACTCTTTGAATGAAATGACCTACGGGTCGAGTATTTTACAAATATATATACAGTATGTATCATCAGATGGATGAGTCACATATATATATGTATCACCCTATTTTTGGGTCTCGTGTCTGAAACATTAGTTATACTTCATATAGCCTGCTTGTCACTAGTACTTCTACGGAGTACTGACCCCTTCAGGGGGCCCTCACATTTTTCAGGTTGAGGCTAGAGTCCTAGTACCTGCACCTTTGCCTAGGGTGATTGATCAAGAAGGAAGACGTGGTTCGTGCTTCCATTCTTATTTCAAATTTATAAACTGCTCATGGATTTTCGAATAATGTTTTCTTTAAAACAGTTGGGGGCCTGCGTGCCCGTGTTTGCCACGTGTGGCTAAATATTAAACATATTATTATTTCCGCATTTGTTGATTATGATATTTATGTTGATTGTATGTGTTTACTAATCGGTTTGGCAATAGAATCAATCGGACGCTTTGTACAATTCAATAGGGATGTATTGTTGTTGTTCTTATCGGGTTGTACGGTTGTTGTCTACGTGGCCCGGATGCGATCCGAGGCGTGACACAGATCACCTACAAAAAGACTGAATAATCAAGTGCCTGAAGAAGTTTGGTCTGGGCAAAAACCATCTGTAACTCACTTTAAGATTTTTGGGTGCTTATGTTACAAACATATCCCTGATCAAACAAGAAAGAAACTGGGTGACAAAAGTGAACCTATGGTGTTTGTAGGTTACAACTCTACTGGGTCCTGCAAGCTCTATAATCCAAGGTCCAAGAAGATTGAGTATAGGTAGAGATGTCCTATTTGATGAATGGGAAACATGAGGTCATTCCTCCCAACAATTCACAAACAAGGATTGAGATTAATAGTGAAGGGAATAATACTCACAGCAATGAAACAGAGAACAATAGCAACAATATGTTTGAAGAAACTGAACTCAGACCAACAAGAACAAGAACTATTCCTCACAGACAGAGAGACTACCAACTTTACGGAGACTCTGAGATTAATGAACAAGGTGATCCTATATATTTAGAAAGTATGAGTTGAGATGCAATTACTCAGCTAGTATGGATTGATGCAATGAAGGATGAACTGAGATCTATTGAGAAAAACCAAGTCTGGGAGCTCACTGACCTACCTCTTGGTAAACAACCAATCCCAGTTAAATGGATCTTTAAGATCAAAACCCATACTGATGGATCAGTTGCAAAGTATAAGGCTCGTTTAGTGGCTAAAGGATTCATGCAAAAGCTTGGGATTGACTATTCTGAAGTATTTGCTCCTGTGGCTAGGTTTGAAACCATAAGGGTTATTGTTGCAATTGCCAGTTACAGAAATTGGTCCCTATGGCATCTTGATGTTAATTCTTCTTTTCTGAATAGATCTTTAGAAGAAACAGTTTACATCCAACAGACTCCAGGATTTGAAGTTAAAGGATCTATTAATAAAGTTCTAAAACTGAAGAAAGCTTTATATGGTTTAAAGCAGACACCCAGGGTTTGGAACAAGAGAATTGATCAGTTCATGAAGGTTGTGAGGTTCAGAAAGTGCACAGTAGAACATGGAGTTTATGTTTTGAACTGTGGTTTAAAAGAAACACTCTTGATCTGCTTGTATGTTGATGATTTACTTATCACAGGAAGTGATTCAAATAAAGTAGAGGAACTCAAGAAGAAGCTGAAAAGAGAATTTGAAATGACAGATTTGGGAGAATTGTCCTTCTTTCTGGGAATAGAGTTTGTTCATACTGATCAGGGAATTCTAATGCACCAAAAGAAATATTTGTCTGAGGTTTTAAGCAGGTTTGGAATGCAATCTTGTAGACCAGCTGACACACCTGTTGAAACCAAAAAAAATTGGATGATTGTGCAGATGAATGAAGGACAAATGCAACTCTTTACAGGCAACTTACAGGCTGTTTAAGATTTCTGTGTCACAGTAGGCCTGACATTCTATATGGAGTTGGCTTGGTGAGTAGATACATGGCAGACCCCAAGAATTCTCGTTTAACTGCAACTAAAAGAGTCCTGAGGTATTTGAAGGGAACACTCAATCATGAAATATTGTTTTCTATAGAGAGTCTGACAGATCAAAACTTGCATCTCACTGCTTATACTGACTCAGATTGGTGTGGAGATATATCTGATAGGAGAAGCACAATGGGATATGTTGTTTATTTGGAGAATATCCCAGTTTCTTGGTGCTCAACAAAGCGGGATGTTGTAGCGTTGTCTACTTGTGAGGCTGAATACATAACAGCCTGTCATGCTACTTGTCAAGGAATCTGGCTCCTATTCTTGTTGGAGGAACTTAAGCAGCAAGTTGACACTAAGATAGAGCTATTGATTGATAATAAATAAGCTATCAACCTAGCTAAGAATCCAGTTTCACATGGCCGCAGTAAACATATTGAGACTAAGTTTCACTTTCTCAGAGATCAAGTTGATAAAGGGAGAGTATGGACATATGGTTAACTCACTGCAGTACAGAAGATCAGATTGCTGATGTATTAACTAAAGCTTTGAAATTGGATAGCTTTAGAAAATTCAGAAGTTTGTTGAATGTAATCAGCTTATCTTAATATTTGTATTGTTTATTTGGAGTAAATTTGGTATTAAGGGGGGATGTCAAATAATACCAAATAGCAAACTCTATAAATACGTGTACTGTGCAGTGATTGAATAAGAAGTTGGTTGACTAAGTTCATTTTTCTCTGTTGAATTTTTGTTAGTCTATTAATTACTCTAACACTCCTTTGGTGTATGCATCTGGACAACCACATATGCTAGCACCAAAAAATAATATTTCCAAATAATAATATCTCCAACTCCAAATAATATCCTCAACAACCTCTCTGTGAAATAAGGCATAAGTTTTTTAAAAAGTTTTGAGTAGTGAGTACCTTTTGGACTCTTTATCTTTAAATAATTGGAAAAAAATTAATCTTTTTATTATCAAATAATTTTCCTTTGATATGTCATTTTTCGTCTTTAATGTATAAATACTTTTTGACAAAATGTTCTAATATTAAATAGGATTAAAAAAAGGAAAGAATGACTAAATTATAAGTACGAGACTTTTAAATGACAAATATATGACCTTTTCCCATTGAATACATAAGTGCGTAAAGTAGGTCACAAATACTCTTGTGCAACACTAACACACACTCTCTTCTTAGCTACACACTTGTGGCGGTTTCCATTGAGCCGCAGCAAAAAGACGACTTTTAGAAACTATTTGCTTCGGTCCGTTGTCACCTGCAGCAAATGTGACCAGATAAATTAGTATTAGGGCGGCGATGGGCTCCAGCCCAGTTCAAATTATTTTTCTAATTAGTATAACTATTGTTTTAGCACCGCACCTGCGCCTCCTTTATGCAAAGACGCGGAAGTGCGAAGAAGAAAGGTCGAAGAACAAAGACAGAGCTACAGAGGTTGTGACGAAGAAAGGAAGTTGCGCTGTGAGCTGCGACCCTGCCACGCCACGCCGCGTTCTGCCGTCCCACGCCGCGTTCCGCCGTCCCACGCTGCGTTCCACCGTCCCACGCCGTGTTCCGCCGTCCCACGCCGCTTGTCCAGTGCCCTGTGTTGTCGGCCATCCTTCCTCTCTGCCATTCTCTTGACTCCGGCTCTGGGCTCTGCCTTCAACTCCCCTGCTCCAGGCTCCAGGTGAGCTTTTTAGATTTTTAATGCATTATTTTCTGAGTGTGTTATTGTGTATTATTTTAATTAGCCTTTTAGAGTTTTAGGATTAGTGAATCAATTTGATTGTGAATTGAATTTTTCAGTATAAACTAAAATAGTGTTTAATTCATTATAAATTTATAATGATGAGAGAGAGAATTAAAAAATTAGAGAATGATTTATTTATTAGTTTTATGTACAATGATTGTTTTTTCCTTATTAATTTTATAATTTTATAGAAGTGTATTAATTCATACCAATATTGAAAATGTTCTCCTCTCTCTTTCAAGCAAGCTATTTTATTTTTCTCTATCTTTATTTTTGTATATTTTTTAAATTACAGTTTGTTTAATTTTAACCCTAATTGGTTTTAGGGATTATTACTTACTAAAGAAAAACAATCAGAACTCCAACTTGAAATTTCATCTATTTGAATTGATAAGTAGCTTCTTGTGTAATGAGTTTTAGTACTTAAAACAAAAAGTAACTCTAAATTTAGTTCTCTCATATCTCTGCTTTTAGATTTTGCAATCGGAAGCAAGGATTGTTGTTTCTTATTCAAAGCAGAACATGGAACTCTAAATTTAGTTCTCTCATATCTAAAATATAGATATGGAACTCCAAAGCAGAATTTAGAATAGGAAGCTTTTTTCAAAACCTGAAATAAGGCTGGCTCTCTGGTGCGCACGGGTAAAGACCTACTGCCGCTTTGCCGACTGAGTCACCGTGATTTACTCCCCCACCATCCTGTCGGGTCGGGGTGGGGGGCCCTTGGGGTTGGGGATTCAACCTTTTGGACGTAGAATAGGAAGCTTTTATTTTTCTTAAATATTTCGTTCTTAAAGAAGAAATATGCACAAATCGGTGGAAGAGTCTAATGTAGAAAATATGTTTTTTTTTTCATATTGGTTTGTAGTTAGGGGAGTATCCAGTGGAGGCATGTAAATTTCATCTTTCAGTCCACGACCTGTCCAACAATTCAATGTCCGGTTTGCCTCTTGAAACCAGTATTGCCAGAATTTTGTGACTCATGTTTATGGGAATTCTTTGGTGCACTTTATAATGCATGAATACATTGACAGATGTTTCCATATTCACTCTGGAGTTTGGGAAGTTAAACATAAACACTAGATGTCTCCTGTTCTGGTTTGTAAAATATTTATTTGATGTCCTCATGTCCCTTGGGTAGTATTTTTTTTGTGTGTAGTCGTGTGGCCTTCCTTAAAAATTAAGGTATGGGTAAACTTTTTATAGTGACTAGCTCCACCGCTTTCACGGCCCCTTACCCCAGAAACCCAACTTTGGCTTGGCCTTACGGGTTACTATACACCGCTTGGCCCTACCACTTGAAGGATTTGTTGGGGGAGCATAGTACCACTGGTGCTAGTGGGAATCGAACACGAGACCTCTCCTATGCAGGGGTAACCTCACAACCAGCTGGACTGGAAGTTCTGGTTGTCGTGTGGCCTTCCTTGAGTTGATGTTTCGTATGGTAAGAAATGCCTGGATTGAAACACATACCTTCTTGAATGTTTTTCTTCATTGGCTAATGTAGGTTGAACATTATTTTAGGGCTAATGACAACTTTGCGAAAGCTTTTACTTGCTGTTAATTCAATGTGAAGACTTCAGAGGTTTGATTGTCATATTGCTATGTTGATTTTATTTTTGTTTTACCTTCTATAGTAGATAATACTCATTTATTCAAAACGTAATTTAATTGTTCGATCATCATTTTGACCAACCCGTGTACTAAATCTTATTATGTAGGCTCTAGTCCTGCTGTTAAAGCCTAATACGGAGTATATATGATCACAACAGTTACAGACTTGGACATCGATTTAAAACTAAAGAAGAGTTTCAAAATGATCGTTAACAATAATTTTCAAACATGAACATTAACTTTGAAAAATGCATGTTTGTCAAACTATGTATTAGTATAACATGTCTTTCTATTATTGTATTCATTAACTTATTTTATTTTTCTACTAAATACTAATGTGAGTTTTTAAATATTGTTTATGATTTGTATATAAAGATGAGCCGAAGTTGGATGTTCGGCAAGCGGAACACCTTAGAGTTCATGAATGGGGTTGCTGAATTTTGTAAACGTGCCTTAGAACGTCGCGTGTCGACAGGTTCTGATGAATGCTATTGTCCATGCGTTGATTGTGGAAATGTGAATTCATTTTCAAAAATAGAGACAATCAGAGAGCATTTAATTCGTCGTGGATTTAGACAACAATACTGTGTATGGGTGTGGCACAGTGAGAAATTAAAGGGGTATATGAAGAAAATGCAACCAATGTGAATGAGACGCCAAATATTGATCAAACCATGCATTCTTATTTTGAGTTTGATTATGAGGACACGGAAACTAAAGATGAAGTCGGGGATGACAAACCAGATGAAATTGATGAAATGATAGGTGGAGTCAAAGACCACTATGGTGGAAGACCAAAGATCTTTGACAGTTTATCACAAGCTGCAGAAAAGCCACTATACCCTGGATGTACAAAGTACACCAAGTTATCTGATGTGCTAACACTTCACAATGTGAAAGCAAAGAATAATTGGAGCGACACCAGTTTCACATCTCTTTTGGAAGTGTTACACGACATGTTTCCTGATGGAAATGAAATGCCCACGTCAAATTATTATGCAAAGAAACTATTGTGTTCGTTGGATTTAGAGTACAAAAATTTTGGAATGCGGGATTACATAGAGGGTTTGGACACAACGCGACATCAGCCTGGATGGATGTGCCCTGATGCAATATTCGCGACATCATGCGAATAATATAACCTTGAAGGTGTCAGAACTTACCTAGAAAGAGCTATGACCGAGTCGCTGCATGACAGAAAAAATTCCATTCTTGCTCCTTATTATGAAAGTTATGTATATCTTTATACTTTATAGAATCTTTGTTTATGAATTGTCATAATTTACTTGATAATGTGCATTATAATTTAATTTTGTATAGTTATCATTGGGTGCTACTTGTGATTTGGATTCCTCGTGGTACTATCTTTATGTTCGATTCACTTCGAAGCACTACAATGTGTCGTTTGTTAATCACATCATTGTTTAGCAGGTTGGTTTTTAGAATGTTTATGTTGTCATTCATATATGTATAGGCTTTTTATGGTTTATGATTTATGAAAAGATTATTATTGAATTATCTTGTATTATTTCTCTCATCAATCTTTTTAAACTAAAAAGTGTCTTCAGAAACATGCCCAATGATGGTGAAAGCAGAAAGAAAGTAATTTGGAAACAAATGAAAGTGCATACATTTTTTCAATAAGTGTGTAGCTATGTTTCTCTATATATGTGAATTGATGCTAATGTGTATAAAACGTCATTATGTATATGTATTAGTGTGCAAAACAAACAGGCAGATTGGAGTGTGGATTCTACGTGATGAAATTCATATATAACGCCGTTAAATATATCATGAGTGATCAAGATATGGAGCAAGTAAATATCATTACTAATTTTCCAATCATTTTAATTTCTTTTGCTATGTTAGTTATACATTTATACACATGGTGTAATTGTAAATTTTTAATATTTTAGGTTTATGAGAGCATCAAAGTAGATGGGCCTTTGTCAAGTGATGACATAGCTGAAGTCCGTGAAGTCGTCGCCATATACGTTTGCGATAATTTGTTGTAAACTATATAGCAGTGATAAATTTGCCATAAAACCGTGTTTTGTATTGTAGTTATTGTGTATAAATTTTGTGGTGTATGACTTCGTTCTTTTAAACTATGTATTTGATTTGTTTTGTTAAATGTGAAGTTGTTTTCCAAGCAGGTTTACTTTTTTGCAAAATATAAAATTTTGTACATTTGGAAAAAAAATAACTATTATTATTTGGTGCAGTCGTTAACCGCAGCAATTACGAAAATTCGAAATTTATAAAAATAGTATTTGTTGCGGTCATTAACCGCAGCATTAAGTTAATTATTTTTTAAATTGCCTATTTGCTGCAATTCGGAACCGCAACAAATACCTTTCCGCACTGTTTGCAGCGCTGTCAATTGTTGCGGTTCCGAACTGCACCAAATAGCCTAAAATGACCGCAGCAAATAGCATTTTTTCTAGTAGTGTTAGAGCACATCCGTCGTTGTCTGTAGATTTCCATATCTGAGCGGCTAGATTTCAAGATCTGGCCGGCTTGGGTTCCGGTCAGGTGTGCGCGGTGTGGACCGTGGTGGGGAAGGGTTGGGTGGGGTGGTCACTGGTGAGCATGGTGGTGGGGAGTGACCATCGGTGGTGGGGAGTGAAAATCGTTAGTTAGTGGTAGTTGTACGAGGTGGTGACGTCCATCGGTGGTGATGGTTACGAGGATGGTGAAGATAGTGTCACTATGACAGCCGGTCGACGGTGTCACTGTGGTGGTGACACTATAGTGATGTCACTGTGTTAGAGTCATTTTGGGTGGTGGGCAGTCACTGTGGGCGGTAGGGCAGTCACTGTGGCTGGTGGGGCAGTCACTGTGGTGGGGTAGTCATTTTGACCGGAGTCATTTTGACCGGAGTCATGTGACCAACATCGTTGTGATGCTGGTCACATTTTTGGAATTTTTAAAAGGCTAAAGGGTCAAATAGGTCCCTGTACTCATATCAATAGTTCAATTGGGTACTCGAACTAAAAAAAGGTTCAATACAATCCTCCAACTCTTCAAAATCGTTCAATTTTTTCGTTTTTTCAAAGGCTAAAGGGTCAAATAGGTCCCTGTACTCATATCAATAGCTCAATTGAGTACCGGGAGTTTACCGGCTAAACGAACAAATTGAACGATTTTGAAGAGTTGGAGGATTGGATTGGACCTTTTTTTAGTTCGGGTACCCAATTGAGCTATTGATATGAGTACAGGGACCTATTTGACCCTTTAGCCTTTTAAAAATTGATACTACTACTACTACTACTACTACTACTACTACTACTACTACTACTACTACTACTACTACTACTACTACTACTACTACTACTACTACTACTACTACTACTACTACTACTACTACTACTACTACTACTACTACTACTACTACTACTACTACTACTACTACTACTACTACTACTACTACTACTACTACTACTACTACTACTACTACTACTACTACTACTACTACTACTACTACTACTACTACTACTACTACTACTACTACTACTACTACTACTACTACTACTACTACTACTACTACTACTACTACTACTACTACTACTACTACTACTACTACTACTACTACTACTACTACTACTACTACTACTACTACTACTACTACTACTACTACTACTACTACTACTACTACTACTACTACTACTACTACTACTACTACTACTACTACTACTACTACTACTACTACTACTACTACTACTACTACTACTACTACTACTACTACTACTACTACTACTACTACTACTACTACTACTACTACTACTACTACTACTACTACTACTACTACTACTACTACTACTACTACTACTACTACTACTACTACTACTACTACTACTACTACTACTACTACTACTACTACTACTACTACTACTACTACTACTACTACTACTACTACTACTACTACTACTACTACTACTACTACTACTACTACTACTACTACTACTACTACTACTACTACTACTACTACTACTACTACTACTACTACTACTACTACTACTACTACTACTACTACTACTACTACTACTACTACTACTACTACTACTACTACTACTACTACTACTACTACTACTACTACTACTACTACTACTACTACTACTACTACTACTACTACTACTACTACTACTACTACTACTACTACTACTACTACTACTACTACTACTACTACTACTACTACTACTACTACTACTACTACTACTACTACTACTACTACTACTACTACTACTACTACTACTACTACTACTACTACTACTACTACTACTACTACTACTACTACTACTACTACTACTACTACTACTACTACTACTACTACTACTACTACTACTACTACTACTACTACTACTACTACTACTACTACTACTACTACTACTACTACTACTACTACTACTACTACTACTACTACTACTACTACTACTACTACTACTACTACTACTACTACTACTACTACTACTACTACTACTACTACTACTACTACTACTACTACTACTACTACTACTACTACTACTACTACTACTACTACTACTACTACTACTACTACTACTACTACTACTACTACTACTACTACTACTACTACTACTACTACTACTACTACTACTACTACTACTACTACTACTACTACTACTACTACTACTACTACTACTACTACTACTACTACTACTACTACTACTACTACTACTACTACTACTACTACTACTACTACTACTACTACTACTACTACTACTACTACTACTACTACTACTACTACTACTACTACTACTACTACTACTACTACTACTACTACTACTACTACTACTACTACTACTACTACTACTACTACTACTACTACTACTACTACTACTACTACTACTACTACTACTACTACTACTACTACTACTACTACTACTACTACTACTACTACTACTACTACTACTACTACTACTACTACTACTACTACTACTACTACTACTACTACTACTACTACTACTACTACTACTACTACTACTACTACTACTACTACTACTACTACTACTACTACTACTACTACTACTACTACTACTACTACTACTACTACTACTACTACTACTACTACTACTACTACTACTACTACTACTACTACTACTACTACTACTACTACTACTACTACTACTACTACTACTACTACTACTACTACTACTACTACTACTACTACTACTACTACTACTACTACTACTACTACTACTACTACTACTACTACTACTACTACTACTACTACTACTACTACTACTACTACTACTACTACTACTACTACTACTACTACTACTACTACTACTACTACTACTACTACTACTACTACTACTACTACTACTACTACTACTACTACTACTACTACTACTACTACTACTACTACTACTACTACTACTACTACTACTACTACTACTACTACTACTACTACTACTACTACTACTACTACTACTACTACTACTACTACTACTACTACTACTACTACTACTACTACTACTACTACTACTACTACTACTACTACTACTACTACTACTACTACTACTACTACTACTACTACTACTACTACTACTACTACTACTACTACTACTACTACTACTACTACTACTACTACTACTACTACTACTACTACTACTACTACTACTACTACTACTACTACTACTACTACTACTACTACTACTACTACTACTACTACTACTACTACTACTACTACTACTACTACTACTACTACTACTACTACTACTACTACTACTACTACTACTACTACTACTACTACTACTACTACTACTACTACTACTACTACTACTACTACTACTACTACTACTACTACTACTACTACTACTACTACTACTACTACTACTACTACTACTACTACTACTACTACTACTACTACTACTACTACTACTACTACTACTACTACTACTACTACTACTACTACTACTACTACTACTACTACTACTACTACTACTACTACTACTACTACTACTACTACTACTACTACTACTACTACTACTACTACTACTACTACTACTACTACTACTACTACTACTACTACTACTACTACTACTACTACTACTACTACTACTACTACTACTACTACTACTACTACTACTACTACTACTACTACTACTACTACTACTACTACTACTACTACTACTACTACTACTACTACTACTACTACTACTACTACTACTACTACTACTACTACTACTACTACTACTACTACTACTACTACTACTACTACTACTACTACTACTACTACTACTACTACTACTACTACTACTACTACTACTACTACTACTACTACTACTACTACTACTACTACTACTACTACTACTACTACTACTACTACTACTACTACTACTACTACTACTACTACTACTACTACTACTACTACTACTACTACTACTACTACTACTACTACTACTACTACTACTACTACTACTACTACTACTACTACTACTACTACTACTACTACTACTACTACTACTACTACTACTACTACTACTACTACTACTACTACTACTACTACTACTACTACTACTACTACTACTACTACTACTACTACTACTACTACTACTACTACTACTACTACTACTACTACTACTACTACTACTACTACTACTACTACTACTACTACTACTACTACTACTACTACTACTACTACTACTACTACTACTACTACTACTACTACTACTACTACTACTACTACTACTACTACTACTACTACTACTACTACTACTACTACTACTACTACTACTACTACTACTACTACTACTACTACTACTACTACTACTACTACTACTACTACTACTACTACTACTACTACTACTACTACTACTACTACTACTACTACTACTACTACTACTACTACTACTACTACTACTACTACTACTACTACTACTACTACTACTACTACTACTACTACTACTACTACTACTACTACTACTACTACTACTACTACTACTACTACTACTACTACTACTACTACTACTACTACTACTACTACTACTACTACTACTACTACTACTACTACTACTACTACTACTACTACTACTACTACTACTACTACTACTACTACTACTACTACTACTACTACTACTACTACTACTACTACTACTACTACTACTACTACTA